GTGTTCCATTAATTGTGGATTTTTATAAGGATTCTTCAAACACACAAATAATTATTGTAAACAGCAATGGCCATATTCAAGATGCCTTAAAGAAGGTAACAGAAACATGTCAAAGTCGTACAGTTTGTGCTGAAATCTAACTACTCTATAACAGCTGAAAGGGCTGAAGATAACCTTGTTCATCAGATGTATATTAGAAATGATTGCTAACAGCAGCTCCAGTATTTGGCCCATGGTTTTCAGAGAAGTTTGGAAAAGTATTTTCAGATAATATGTGCCCAAATTTATTTTTTTTTCAACTATCCTCTACATTTTATTTAAGTCATGTAAAAGTTTGTAACTAGAGACTACAGACCAATTGCCCATCCAAAGTAAGCAGCAATGTTAGCTGGAGCAGAAGAAATGAAAATCAGATTAAACTGCTAGAATATTTTCTTTCATTTGAATAACAATGCTTTACAAGAGTTCCAGCTGAAAATGAGGGCCCATATAGTTTGATTCCATGCAAAAGCAGAGCACAGTGTATGGAGAGAACACAGAGAGTGCACACAGCAAATATTTGATCTGAGAAAGTTGTACAAAGAGTTGTGGGAAAAAAGAAAGGGAGTAAAGGTGTTGATTCTGTTGCAATTAAAATAAAAGTACATGAAGTTTTGCTTAAATTCTTCTAATTTTGCCTTTTATTTGAGAAGGGTGTGAGAAGCTTGATTTTCATCTGGACTAGCCTAATGGAGCTGTGCTATTTCAATATACTTCTACTTTCAGGCTCTGTAATATGGCAGTCTATGACAAGAGAAGAATCACAGCCTATGTGGAAGAGGAAATGTTCCCCTGATGACCACCACCAAAGTTTTTGCTGACACTATGGAAGACTTTTCTTAAGCAAGCCATTTAGATTCTCAGAATAATATCTGTAATGATGGATGGTAATATTTACATGCGCAAAATGGATAATTCCACATTTAGGAAGAATTTAGAGCTAGTGTAGTGGGTTTTACTTCTTTGAATTCAAATGATTTGCACATGCCTGTGTCATGGCTGAGTGTGATCTCCTCAGCTTTTCAAAGTTAGGTTGCTGAAGATACTGAAGCAAATACTTTGGAAACATGCTTCCTAATCATAGAATTCCTTTTTCACTAAGGATGTGGCTTTGATCAATTATTTACTTACCTGTCCTCAAAGTTATTTACACTTTTCAAAACCTTTCTTTGTTCAGTTTGTGCCCAAACTGCACGTCCTTGGTACCGGCCTCTGCAGAAAGTCTGAGAGAAGTGGCAGCTGCAGTTTCTGTGCAGCTCCAAAAGATGAAACAACATGAAGGAAACAACCATGAGATTTTTTTTAATCTCCTTTTATTTTGTGAGCATTCCCTGCATTAGAATATCCACACCAGCATCCCTCCTGCAGTTATCAAATGTCTCAGCTTTGTTTCAGTGTTTAACCAGCTGTAAAAGATGTTTTATTGCCTTATATATTCTTCCACCATTTAAGTAAATCACTTCAATGTTGTATTATAGATGACTGTAAAAAGGAGATGTTTTTTGTTTTTTTTTTTTTCAATTACAGTAACTAGTGGCCAGGTATGCACACAAACCAGCATATTTGGGGCAAGCAGCAACCTGTCCTGCAGTTATTTGAGAGGGGGGGGGTATGTACTCATTACCCCATGAGTAATGCAGCAATCCACGTGCCCTGCTGCTGAGGACCAGCTGGCTGCTGTGTGCTATTAGAGCTGCTTGCCAGCAGGCAAGGCTCATTAAGAGCCTAGTTGCAGGATATAACATCTTTGCAGTCAATTAACAATGCTGCTCTTTAAAAAGGTCCAGATCCTTCCTGATTCAGCAAAGCACTTCAATATATGTTCGAAGTTAAATGCTTGATTAAAGTTTTGTGTAATGAAGATGTGAGGTCTTGTGCTTGAGGTTAGACAGGTAGGCACATTCCCAAATCAGGGCCTGACATGTTATGGTTCTTAGAGGTTTCCAGGAATCTTGAATATCCTGAAATACTGACTATGCTGATTTCCAAGCTGAGTAAAACCTACAGCTGAAAAACAAAACCACACCATGTGACTGTGAAGCATGGAGGAAAACATTTTAAAGTCTGTATCTGGTCATCACTGATGTTTGTCTCGTCAAGGAAATGCTAGCAGACTGTTTACATTTTTGTATCCTCAAAAGAAATTAAAGAAATGACACTACCCTAGTCATCTAGAAATGGTGAATATATATATATATATATATATTTATCAAAATGAACTTTTTCTTTGAAGAAAGAAGCAATGGAGGAATTGAATTGTTATGCACTTCCTGACTGTAATATTTCTCACTGGACAGGGTTGTATTTTGTAGCCTGCTTCCTGTGGTCAAGTAAAGGAATGAGTATCAGGAAGACCAAAATTCAAGCTTTTGCCTTAGCTTTTTATGTAACAATGTCTACCACTTTCCCATGCTTATTTTCAGTTGTATGACATCTGCTTAGTTATTGTAATATCCTATTGATAACTAATTGCAGCAATAGGCATATGTCTTTGCTCTAGTTCAGTGGGTCAACAGCAGAATCAAAGATAGTGTCTCACTGATGGTGAATTATTTATTAACATAGCCACCCTGCTTCTCGTGGATTGGGCTTAAACACCTTACTTTGAGACCTAGATTTGGTATTTTCTCTAATAGTATGTTGAACTGTCAGAGCTCACTGCTTCATCTTCTGCAATGTCTCATTTTCTATATCCTCACTAATAATAGAATGCAAAATTCCAGGTGACTACAATGAGTGTAGATTGAAACCTCAATTTTTAAAGCAACTTTTGCTTTCTGGTGAAGCATCCTATGAATGTGGATTGTTCTGTACTTCCTCTTATTTACTTTGTCCTGTTAGAGAACAAGTTGAAATAAGCTTCCTTGTCTGTGTGTGTGACACCTTACTTGTATGTTTTCAACTTTTGTTTTCAGTCTGATCTGAGCTGGAGCAGTATTTTGCATTTAATTTATTGTTTGGACCTGAAACTTAAAATGAGAGGGCCAAAACAAACACATCTCCTGTACAGAGCCTGTCTAGAAATAGCTGGAATTGGATCACAGTCTGTAAGGTAGGAACAGCCTACCTACAGGTACCCACTGAGGTATGTCACCCATGCTCATGGTGCTGGTTCTAGCTGCCCCAGACTTCTCTGGTGCTGGGGATAATGGCTTCTGGCTGCCCAAAAGGTAAGGCAAGAGTCAGATACTAGGGGGTCTGCCTCTGGTTTCCACTCTCAGATTCACTGGATCTGTTCATGGGTAAAACGCAAAGATTTCACAGATTATCATGTTTCAGGTATGTAGGGGAAATTTTGGGTTTCTTTGGTGCAGTGCTTGATCACCTCAGAGATGTAGGCTCTGAAAACAGTGAAATCCAGAGAGCTGAGGCAAACCCTGCTACAAGACCAGCCCCCAAATTCCACATCCATCACAGCCCACCAGAAATCTGATGTTCAGTGAGAACCCTGTCTTTCTTTTCCTTGCCCCAAACTTGCATTTCAGACAGAGCAGATTGGGTTCAGTGATAGACACCTCTTCAGGTGAAAGTATTTGCCTCAAAATGTCCAGCCCCTTCCAGGCACAGGGATGAGCCTGAGCTGGGAGGCTCCATCAGAAAACAGACAAACTTTGGAAGAGTTCAGACTACATCTGAACTTTGCCACTGATTAAATGTAAATAATCTTGCTCAGTCTCCAACAGCTGAGTTGAAGCAGAGATTTTGAAAAGAAAGAACTTGGATCACAATTTTATGGCTATCTCTAAAATATTTTATTGCTGGTTTATGACACCAGTGTGTAAATTATGGAGCTTTAAAGAGTTGCATTGTGAAGGTTTTATCCTTTGCTTATGTACAAAACATAAATACTACAGTTTTGTTTTCAGGGAAATTAAATACATATTTTTAAAAGGGTTGTTTAGGAAGCCAAGTGGGTTAGTAAAAAGAACACCTTATTCTTTTTTCTTTTTTTTTTCTTTTCTTTTTTTAATGTGTGGATACTGCATTTTTATGAGTTGGTACTCAGTAATTATTTTCAGCCAGCTGATGTAGGTCAAATAATTGAAAAGAAGGAGAGGGGAATGAGTGTGTGTTGCGTGTTTGCAAATACCACTACAGTGGAAATAGTGTGTCTAACACCATGTGGATCAGAGAAGAAATGCTTTCTATTATATGACTGATGCAGAAAAATATCTTTTGGAAGCACAAGCCATTTCTCTGGTCTGAAGCAAACCTTATATAGTTTGTGTGTAGATAGAATCATCTTACACTGTGTGTGTACACATACATATGTGTCTACACAATGCAATCTTGTAGATATAACAACAGCTACCATATTGTCTCATTTGCATTGAAACTGCATGGGCATGTTATCCATTTTCAGAAGAGAAATTGTAACAAATGAAAATATTTAGTTTCCTACTACATTTTTAAAGTGAAGTTAAAGCTATGTAATTCAAGAAATGTGTTGTATTTTGGAGACCAGAGCAATTCCTTTTGGATGTGACTTCATCAAGATTCATCAGTAGCTTACTCTGGCCTTTATCTCTTGGGGTTTATAACCAGTATTCCTTCAGATTTTGCTCCATCCTATGTCAAGATGACTCACTGTTATTTCCTTCCACTGTCTCATGCTGAGTGACCAGGGGCAGAAAAAATGTTTTCAGCTGCTCCTTTCAGTTAATGTCCTTGTTCCAGTAGATACATTAGCTAAATTTTTCAAAAGTTATGAAACAGTTATGTCTGTGAACTCCATGTTATTCTCCTATGCCCAACCTTGGCACCAATTTCCTTTCCAAGCTCTGGGAAAAATGCTGGTTTACATTTATTGGGATGAAACTGAGGTGTGGTTCTCCTGTTCTTGAAGACTGGAAGGACTGGGAGGGGACATGAGTAGCCATAGTGGTGTGAAATACCCATCTTTAATGGTTCTAAATTATTATTGTTCAAATCTCTTGTTTGTAATGTCTCTGTTCTCTTAGATTCAGATGGATCACGCTTTACCAGATGTCCAAGCCAATACTGCTGTCCAGTCCTTGCTCTCAGCAACATCCTCCTGTCCTTGTGATGGGGAGTCTTGGGAGGACTGTGCAGATCAAGCTTCACACTGCCTCTGCACTTCAGGCTCTCTGTGCTGTAAGTACACCAAACAATGCTGTGGCTATTTGGCATGTCCAAGTCGGTTGACTGGGAGTGCTTTGACTTAACTTCTGGAAAACTTACCATGATTTTGATGATTTTATGCTTTTTAGGTGGATTAAACTATGTACCTGCCTCAAATAAACATGTAAGGTGGTCGATGTATTTGTCCCTGTAATCACCACAGGTTTCCAATGATTGTAGGGTAAATGGGTATTTTTCCTCTCGTGCATTACAAGCATGCTCTAAACAACACAAAGGCTGTATTTTATAGGCAGCATCTGATAAAAGTAATTCTGTTGCTGCTGTTCCTAACAAGAAGCAGAGGGGGTGCTTTTAGTTATTTTGAATTTCTAATATGTCTAGTGGTAACTGAGTATATAGACAGGGGTGTGGAAACAACACTATGTATATAGGTGTTCATTTCCCAACTGTGACAAAGACATGTAACTAACTGTACTTGCCTCAGCTGAAATAAACACTTTTGGGAAGAATTTGGCTGAATGGTTATTTTTGGTCTGGCAAAGGAGAAGCCGACAGAGTGACTGTTATTACTCTGATGCCAATTACTGGAACCGACCAGCTTAGGGGCAATTTGCTGACTTTGTTTAAAGACAAAACTGTTCTTTCTGTGTCCAACTGTGATTTAGAAAGGGAGGAGCTCTAAACCACTTTTTTTTTAAAAAAACAAAAAAATATATTTTTTAAAAAAGTTTCCTAGCTGAAAACATTATCTGAACTCCACATGGTGTGGGGTTTAGGGAATTAACAGGATGATTCAGACATACAATCCTCACATTCATTCCCACTCCTGAGAACTTTCCTTAAGGAATAAAATTTCTTTCCTGCACTTGGTCGGAAACAAAACAAACTCAAATCCTTCCCTCCTTTCTTTTTTTTTTTTCTTTTTGACTGGAAAGTAACACAACTAATAAACCTAACATTAAGCTCCAACACGTGCTGTAGGCCAGTATAATCTCAGGATATGAGTGGTGTGATTTTAGCAGGCATTTGCAGCGCTCCTCCCCGTGAACTCTTGGCTGATACGTTGTCCCATCATTGCTTCCCTTTCCTCTCCCCTGCTCCATATGGAGACCTGTGCCAGCAGGAGCTAAAGGGTGGTTCAAAGTGTTGTCTTTTCATATTTTGTCCTTAGAGAGTGGGACAGAAAGCGCTGAGAGTGCTGCCTTGTGTATTGGTTTGCAGCTCTGTGAGAAGACAGAGCAAGGGCAGTGCCTGAGCTCTGACCCTGGGTACGAGGAAGTTGTGATCTCCCAGACCCACTGTTTTCTTGATGTAACTCGAGTTTCCTTTTCCTATATGCATGTGTGGGGGGAAGGTCACATAAGCTGCAGTGAATCTCTTCAAAATGAATTCAGAGTACTCAGATTGTGCAGTATTCCCAAAGTGCGCACCAGAAGAATTTTATGATGGATTGGTTTTCCACTCTTTCCCCTTTTGTTGCTTATTATCAAAACCAAACCAACTTGAACAAAACGTCCTCTGATTTAAGCAGGAAATAAAGGAAGCTTGTGAAGCTTTGTGCTTGCCCATGCTGCAGTTTTAGTTTAAATGCTCACAGGCATCTGTATTTTCTTGCTTTTTCCTTCACAGGATTGCTTTCCTTGGTGCCTCTTGTGCAGATATGTTTCAAAAATTCTTCTGCCATAACATGTATTATTTTTTAAATTTACAGTCAAACTTTTTTCCCACCTTGGTCATATTTCCTCACTACCCAGAAACTTCCTTGTCCATTGCCTTGGTCATTCTTTTGCTCTTTGAATCAGGAAAATTCTCTTAGCTTGCTCTTGTATTTTCTGGTCCAAAGGTGAATCAAATAGTACCAAACTTACCTGATGATGTCTTGATTTTCTTTTATAATATACTTATATTTTTTACTCCTAATATTTTTGTTTCAGTATTTTTGTTGCTGGTATTCCCTGCCAAATTTAGGGCTTTTTAATCAAATTGTCTGACCTCCATCTTTGTTCATAGAGTCTCCATGGGCTTCCTCTAAAATTCAGCTGAGTTCATTTTGATTCTTTCAAGCTTCTCTGCACTTCCAGTCTATTTCACACCTGCTTTTCCTACTGTGTCTTCAGTTTGGGGGAACAAGGGAAATTTATGAAATATCTTGCAGCCTGTTCCCCTCTCACTGTCACAATCATAGGCAACTGGATCAGCAGCTACATTACTTACTGCATTCTAAAGACAAATCCAGCCTAGAAAAGAATCAGAGTGGCTGCCTGCAGTACGTTGCCCTTCACCACATTGCTGATTCCCATTTTGCTATACCAGAGGCTGCCAACACCCTTGCCTCTGAGGTGCTTCTGTAGTCCTGTGTCTCTCCTGCCTTTGCTCTAGCTGATGTTTTGCTGGTGTTTAAATCCACATCCACCTGTGTTTTTATTGCACACAGAGATGGAAACTCTGCCCAATCATTCTTTTTCATTCTTCAGCTTCCTTTTGTTTTGTCTTAAATATATTCAAGGGGGAAACAGGAGGAGGGATGGAAAAGGAAGGGTTCGGTCTAGACTTCCAAAGCAATTTCCTTTTCCCTACAGAGCACAGTTCATTTCCTTCCAGAGCGATGTGGCTGGGAAATTGTACATTTCTTCTCAGCACTGACTTTCCTGAAATTTGTCGAGTCAAAGCACAGCTACTAGGTGGGATCCAGAGGACCATAAACAGGAGTGTGTGAGTGTTTTTGTCACTGCCAATCAGGACAATAAACAGAGATTATTATAGAAGGGAGAGGTTGGTCTAGATAAGCAGCCACAGGGTGGAAATGTTGAAAAATAAATAGACAAATATCCATAGACACACCTGCACTTGGGCGTTTCTGCACTGTGGGGCCTCACAGGGCTTATTTTTGCCATAAAAGTCTCAAGGACAGAGAACTGAGCAATGTGGAAGTTGATGGTTTTCCTTGAGGGTTAATTACAAGGTCTTGCCTTTGGGGGGAAAAAAAAAAGTAATGGTTTATTGTTCTAAATTTAACTCTTTATACATTGCATTTAGCTCAAGAAAGAAGGGTTCTTTTTCTTTAAAATGCATTTATATTTGCTGGGTCTTAACAGTATGCCATTTAGTACTGTGGCATCCACTCTTACCAGGTTTCTGTGTTTGCTTTAAATCAAACTAATAAATTGGTTTAAGTCAAATTAAAACCAGACTGAAAGAGTAGTATAGTCATGGCTGAGCAGTTTGCCTCCTCCAGAGAGTTCAATATACTCTGAGCTTAATTTTTTTCAAATGAATTAAATTCAGTTTGGAAAGGAAATGCTTGGGGAAAAAAAAAAAAAGAAAAAAAAAGTGATGAGATCATAATCTGTTGACTCCATGGAGTTTCTAATTTAGTTGGTGCCTTTATGTGTTTGTTTGCTTAAAAGATGAGATTTTTTCTGTGTTGAGAGTGTGTAGAGACACGAGCAGGAAGATGAGCTGGAATCTGACTCTGTGTTTGATATAAGATAATTATTTTATCCATTCCACTTTGTTTTTGCTTAGCAAGACAATTCACATGGTGTTTATTGTCCTGCCACAAGTAATTGCAGATTAGTGTCTGAATGGCTGATACTTATTTCGGAGTCTGAGAAAGCTCATAACTGATTTATTGTGTTAATAGTCAGAAAATGCACAATGAAACTTTGGAGAAGTACTTCAAAAGTACTAGGTATTACAGTTACACAGGAACTTGAGTTGGCTGATATTTTTTTAGTGGATGTATAGATGAGAAAACTGCCTTTACATTTTGTCTCAAAAGTGAAAGTTCAGCAAACTATAGGCAGAGGAGCTTTAAAAGATCTCCTACTTCTCAGGCCCTTTGCTTTGAAATCCCAACTTCAGAAAACCCTTCTGCTATTAGCCACCAGGTGAAACACCACAGGGTTTGCTGCTCTCCAACTTAATGACATTTTTCCCAGCAAAGGAAAACACCTGGCTTAGGAAGAAGTTGTGTAGGGCTGGACAGGCTCTGGTTACTGCATCCACTCAAATCTCTCACTCAGCAGGGCAAAAATACTGGGGCCTCAGAATCTGGTGCTGCCCTCTGGCATGGGAGATTTTTTTAAGTGCAAGAAAAAGACAGTGCAATATAATGCAAAGGCCTTGTTGTGCAGCTCACACTGCAAATTATAGAACTTTCCTGTGAGACTAAAGGATGCTTCTTTTTGCTTTCTTCAGTCAGATTGCAGGAGGCCAGACCTGTACAACCTTTCCATTTGCAGACGTACCTCTGCAGTGAAAAGATGTGTAGCTGGTAGCTGAAGATCTTTGAATGCATTATAACTTACTATAATTCATCCAGTTATGTTGGGCTTGTTGGCTCATGTTTAGCTGTAGCTGGAAAGGAAATTTTTGCTCTGTTAAAGGAGTTCTGGCGGTCCCAGGTATTCAAGATGAAATGGAGGTGGGGGGAAAAAAAGATGGTCATGACATTCTACTGATATACTATGATTCTATTATAGTCTGCAATTGAGGAATCACCATGGGCTTTTTTATTATTCCTGAAATGTGTAGATCTTTGTGGCTTGGAATTTAATTTTTTTTTTTACATGTTTGCTGTCTTTTGTCAGTTCCAAGCCTGCATTTATTAGATCAGCTGAAGATGAGAGGCAGAGGTGCTGCTGTCTTAGGGGGAGAATGGATACACGACAAATACAAATGATTTAGAAAACACTGCTTTTGCTGTATGACTGTGACATTATGCATTCTGACCAAGAGAAGGAACTGCAATAGTATGTAATGTTTTTACCCTGCCAGAAAAAAGAGACAGGGCACAATCTCAAATTTTGAGTATTTTCTCATCTAATTTTTCCAAATGTGCACTCTAGTGGTACTTGGGATAGTTGGGGGAGGATGACTCTTCAGGCACAAATTAAGGTTGAGTATGTTTATACATGTAGATGCTCAGTGTTGCACAAAGCAGGGCTGTTCTAGAGAAAAAAGCAGTTATGCTCTTGGAAAGCCAGGATTTGAAGCAGTGCTGT